CCTGCGGTCGACTCTGAGGATCCCCTCCGGGTGGTGGGGGCCCGCGCGGGGCGGCGCGCGACGACGCTCCGGTTCGGCTCGTCGCGCGAGACGCGGTCACGGGGAACGCGCTGATCGCGGCCGTGCGGACGACCGGCGGCGTGTCCATCACCGGGATCGACGATCGCGTCGCGCGGTGGGAGGTGAAGGCGTTTCGACCGCGCGATCGGTTCGAAGACGACGACGACGACGACGACGACGACGACGCGGAGGTGGGCGAGGAGACGACGACGACGACGCGCGCGGACGCCGCCGCAAATCCTTCAATGCGTCGTTCAGAGGAGAAGCAGGAGGATAATAGGGAAGTAACGCGCGCGCGAGATGATGATGCGATGGACGACGCCGCGCCGCTGACGCACGTCCTGACGACCGCCGACGCGTCCGCCAAGGCGCTGTGCCACGTCCCGCCGCCTCCGGGCGTTCTCGGCGGCGTCGTCGCCGTCGCCTTGCGCGGCCCCGCGTGTCGGCCGCGGCGCATACGCGTCGGCATCAGCCTCCGGAGCCATCGGCGCGTCGAGGGGCGATTACTGCTCATGCGTCTCGTTGAAACGCCTTGGAGACGAGCGTTTGAGGTTGCCGCGACGGTGGCGCTGCCGCACCCGGCGACGTGCGTCGCGCCCGCGGGTCCGGGGCTCGTGTTCGTCGGCTGCGGACCGAGGGTGTACTGCGTCCGCGCGTACCAACGCGACGCGTTCGACGCCGCGGAGGAGGCGGAGTCCGTCCGCGGGACGCTCGCGGGGACGCTCGTGGCGTCGAACTACGCGCATCTGTCCGCGCGGCGACGCGTGCGCGCCATCGCGAGCGGCGGCGGCGGCGGCGGCGGCGGCGGCGAGCGCGCCATCCCCATCGCGTTCGCGGACGAGCGCGAGGGCGTCTCCGCGTTCACGATGAAGACCGCGGACGAGCACGCCGGGCCGGGCGGGTTGGAGTACCCGTCGTTCGCGTTCGTCGGCGCCGAGGCGACGACGCGGCGCGTCGTCGACCTCTGCGCGCGGCGACGCGGCGAGACGTGCGGGATCGACTCGAGCGGGAGGATTTTCGTGCTTCGAAGACGCGAGGACGACGACGCGTGGGGCGCGGAGGAGGGCGCGTGCTCGCCGGAACAGAACTTGAGCCTCGCCGCGAGCTTCACGCTCAGGGCGAAGCCGTCCGCGATGCTGGTGATGGGAGACGACGGCGGCGGCGGCGGCGACGACGGCGGCGGCGACGACGGCGGCGGCGGCGAAAGCGAAAGCATTTTTACGAAAAGGGCACCGTCCGTCCTCATCGGGACGAGACAAGGCGGCGTCTCGATGCTCTCCGAGCTCGCGATCGCGGACTGGGCGGTCCTTCGCGAGGCGACGCGCCGCTGCCGCGCGCACCCTCACGTCGCCCCCGTCCTCGGCGCGAGTCACGCGTGCGCGACGGGCGCTTGGCCGCCGCGCGGACGGAACGACCGCGGCGCGGGCGGCGGCGGCGGCGGCGCGCCGCCGTGGCCGAAAGCGAACGCGCCGGCGAGGGCGCCGCCGCCGCCGCTCGTGATCGACGGCGCGTTGCTTCGCGAGCTGCTCGACTTACCCGCGGACGCGCAGAGGGAGGTTTTAACGGACGCGATCGACGTGGAAGCGAGCGACGGCGAGGAGGAGGAGGACGCGGGGGAGGGGTCGCGAAGAAGCGCGCCCGCGCTGCCGGTGGAGGCTGTCCTCGGGGTCATTCAGCGCGTGTTGGAGCCGTGAGTTTGTCGTACTGTAGTAGGACCGCGCGTCGGTGGTATTCTTTACGTGTGTCGTTTTTACGAGCGTGCGTTCACTTTCGTGCGTCTTTTTACGTGGTATTGTATCTCTCGCGACGTCGCGCGCGTCGTCGTTCGTTTTTCGGTCGTTCGTTCGTCTTCGCTTCTTCTTCTTCTTCTTCTTTTTCTTTTTCTTCTTCTTCTTCTTCAACGTCTTCGTCTTCCTCTACCGTCTGCGTCCTCGTCTTCTCGCGCTCCGCGGGTCGATTCTCCTCCTCGCTCACTCCACGTGTGACTTTTCGAACGCCGCGACCATGTCTTTCGCGTGCTGGATGTTCTCAGGGGATTCCCACGTCGCGTGCGTGTCGTCGTAGTCCGCCCAGGTGACTGCGAGAAAAAAAAAACCGAGGGCGTTCGTCACGTCGGTCGCTCGACGTTAGGGTTTGCAGAAAAGGAAAGAAACTCGCCGCGGCGACGCGAGAGGCGTCTCCGCGTCGCGAGTTCGTCGTCGCACCTTTGTACTGGATCGTCCCGTCCGGGAATGAGCGCTTGCCGACGATCTTGCTGATCGGGTGTCCCGCGGGCATCTTCACGGAGCCGCCGGGCGTCTCCTTCTGCTTCCACGACCCGTTGTGGTGGTGCCAGTCCTTGCACTCGGGGATCTCGCGGCGCGACATCGCGTTCTTCGCGCCCTGCTCCGTGCAATTGAACTGCTTGCAGATCTCGTGCAGCGCGTGCGACCTCGCGGTCTCCGCGCTGAGCCACTGCGAGAGCGCGGGGGCGGCGGAGCGTGAGGCGAGCGCGGGACGAGCGAGCGCGAGAGCGGGGGGCGTCGCGCGCGGCGAGAGACGCGAACGAACCGTGTAGTCGTGGTGGACGAGGTGCTCCTTGACCCCTGGCAGGACGGGCGCGACGGGCGTTGCGGCGGCTCGCTCGGTAGTGTCCATGGCGGCGGCGGAGGGTTTGTCGTTCGGGGGAGCGCTGTTGCGAGAGAACGCGCGCGTGAGCTGCGCGTGTCGGTTGCGAAGGAACTGTGCCGTCGCCGTCGCGACCCAGCGCATCTTTTGAAGTGGCGGCGCGAGGGAAAGGTCGTAGCTTTTTTCTACGGCGGTGAGGAAACCTCGGACGCGACGACGGGCTGGGGACGACGACGCCGGGGAGAGTGCTGTGGTGGCTTCGTCTGGCAAACCTCTACTAAGTTATGATATTTTTTCGCGAACGGAAGCGCCGCCCTGCCCGCGGCTGCGGCCGAACCCTACTAACACGCGTCTACGTCCCAAACCCGTCGTCGCCTCGGGCGCTAATCAGACTACTATCTCTTCTCCGTGCCCTCAACGTCCGCGGCCGCTTTCGCCGCGGCTTTCGCGGCCCGGCGCTTCGCCTCCTGCTCGCTCGGCACCGCGCCCGGGGCGTCGCCGAACGCCGCCCGCCACCGCTTGCCCGCCTCCTCCCGTGTCATCAAGTCCCAGTACGGCTTCGATTTCGCCCGACCCAGGTCCACGGGCGCCTTCGCGGACAGCGACTCGCCTTTCCTGTGGGTCGCGGAAGAGGGGGTGGGGGTGGATTGGTGTAGGGGGTGGGTTAGATTGAGGGATTTCTGGCGGCGCGCGCGGACGGTTGGAACGAAACGAAGGTGCCCTAATTCCATCCGAGGGACGAGACCGATCGAGTCACGAGCGACGCGCACCTCTTGTCCTTGTCCATGCACGCCATCACCGCCTCCCACCGCCCGCTGCACGAGTCTAACTCGCCGTAGCGGTAATACAACGTCATCTGGTACTGCATCGCTGCGGGAGGAACGCGAACGAGGAGGTCAGAGGAGGTCGGATCGAGTCGTCGGGAGATGAATGAGATGGGCGCGCGATCGCGCCACCCCGCGAGAACGACGACGAACGCGACGGCGACGCGCGGGCCGCGGACGGACAGTAGCAGTCCCACGCGTTCTTGAACGCGTCCCCGCACGTGTCCGGCACGGGCTCTTCCTTCGCGACGACCTTCTCTTTCGGCATCGCGCGCGAGACGCCGCGACGCGCGCGTCGCCACTGGCGTGATGATGAATCGCTCCGGCCGGCTGCACACTGGAAGATCTTTTTCCAAGCGTCTGAACGGACGGCGGCGGTCGCGAGACACGTCACTCCGACGATCGCGCGATGGCCTCGCTCCCGACGCGCGTCTGCGCGTGCTGCGCCGGCTCCGGCGTCGTCTCGAGCGCGTCCTCGAACGCGCCGAAGCGCGCGCGCGCCGCGAACGCGACGTCGCGCCCCGCGCGCGTCGTCGTCTCCGCGTCCTCCGCGCGCGGCGACGGCGTCGTCTCGAAATCGGCGGAAGAAGATGACGATAACGCGACGGGATCCCCGCGCGTGACCCGCCGCGCCGCCGGCCTCATATCCCTCGCGTCCGCGACGATGACCTTCGCGGGCTCCGCGCGCGCGCTGGACGACACCTCGTGCTTAGAGTGCGGCGGCAAGGGCGTCGTCGCGTGCGACATGTGCGGCGGCACCGGGAAGTGGAAGGCGCTCAACCGCAAGCGCGCGCAGGACACGTACGAGTTCACGGAGTGCCCGCAGTGCTTCGGCAGAGGCGCGCGCGTGTGCGGCGTGTGCTTCGGCACCGGCGAGAGGAACGTCCGCGGGCTGCTGCGCCGGCCGGAGTCCACGGAGCTCGTGAAGGCGATGCAGCGCGGGGAGCTGAGACCGGGCGACGGGATGAAGCTGTTTCAGGAGGGCAAAGACGCGGTGGCGGCGCGGGGCGCGGACGCCGCCGCCGCGGGCGCCGCCGCGGGCGCGGGCGCGGTCGCCGCCGCGGGCGCGGGCGCGGTCGCCGCCGCCGTCGGCGACGTCGTCGGCGACGGGAGCGGCGTCGAGGCGGCGGCGGACGCCATGGAAGGGGCGATGGAGGCGGTGCAGGACGTCGTCGACGCGGTCGCCGACGTCGCCGCCGACGCGATCGGCGCGTCGCCGGAGGCGTGAGCGGCGGGCGCGAAAGCGGCGCTTCTTCGAAAAGATGCAATCGTTCGATGATACCATCACACTACAAGCTCGCTGAATTTTTCTCGTCGTCGTTCGTCGCGTTCGTCGCCGCGTCGTCGTCGTCGTCGTCGTCGTCGTTGTCCCCCGCCGCGGTCCCTCCCGGCGTCGTCTGTCCTCCGCTCGCGTCTCGCCGACCGTCGTCGTCGTCGTCGTCAGGGCCGTTCTATACAAGCGAACGTCGGGGTGGAGTTGAAAGGCGTCAGTTGAAGTTGAAAGGCGCCGACGGCGGGGATTGAACGCGAGGTGTGGGCGGAGAGAGGCGACGGCAAAAGTCCTTAAGGATCGGCGTTCACCACGCCAACGTGGTCGTATGGGAACCAGTGTATAGAACGCACCTCACTCGACGTAGTCGAAGTTGTTGAAGTTGATGTCCCCGGTCTGCTTGAAGAACTGCTCGCACCCGGCTCTGTCGCCCATCTTCTTCTCCACGAAGCTCTTCAGCATGAAGACGTTGTCCGTCCACCGCTCGACCGCCTCCTTCGCGATCGGCGTCCCGGTTTTCATCGCGTCTAAGACGGCGTCGTCGCCGCTTTGAAACCGCGCGAGCTCCGCCTTCAAGGTTTTGTTCGCGTCCGACGCCGACGACAGCATCACCTCCGCCATCGTCCTCTCCTCGCTGACCGGGTGGTCCTCCGCCGCTTTCTCGAGCCGCTCGTCCAAGTCCACGCTCTCGCTCGCCGTCTTCGCGAGCTCGCACTCCAGGGATTTGAGCTTATTGCTCAGCGCCGCGGACGCCTCGCCCGGGAACGCCCAGTAGATGTTCGACGTCCCGATCTTGTCGACGTGCACGACGCTGTCGTCCACGAGCGATTGCACGACGTCTTTCACGGCCTGGAACACGACGCCGCGCTTCGCCGCGGCCTTCTCCATGTCTTTGAGGAGCCTGCGGACGCGTGGGGGGAGGGGGGATGAGGGGCGACGCGACGAGATCGGGGGGTGCATCGATTCGAGCGTCTCGGGTGCGCAAAAAACACGACGACGCGCGCTGAGGACGACGACGACGACGACGACGCGACGCGCACCACGGCTCGCCGCTCTCGTGGAACAAGGACAATACCGTCTTCCGTTTGTCCTCCGCGGACATCCCCCGCGGCGGCATGACGCTCGGTCGCGCGGTCCTCTCCGGGCGCCTCGCCGCGTCGCGCAGAGTGACGCACCGAACGAACAGCTGTGACGAAAAGTTAAAAAACGAGCAGAGTGTGAAAGCCCATAACCTATCATTTCTTCTCGCGCAAAATTCTTTCGCCAGATCGCCGACCACGTCACTCGAACGAGAGACGGTGAGCGTCCCGTTCTGCGCGCGACGGAGAGTCATACGTTCGCGCGAAAACGTCGCGAGGTCGTCCGCGCGCGCGACGCGACGCGACGCGCTCAAAGAGACGCGCGCGCGAGTTTCGAAGCTCGCACGCGTCGCCGACCGTCGCGGACTCCCGCGCGAGCTCGCACGACCGCCGGGTCCGCGGCCGGGTCCGCGCCGTCGCCGACGATCGCGCGGCGTCGCTCGCGCCTCGGTGGCAGCGGAGCGGAGCTTTAAAGGGACGCGATCTCGTCGTCTCGCGCCGGCGGTCGACGCGCGCGATCGCGAGGCCTCCGCGCGGCGCGAACGGCGCGGGCATCGCGAGAAGACCGACCTCCGCGCGACGCACGCGCAGACGCGCGCGCCGGGGAGCGATCCGACCGCGCGCGCGCCGAGAAGCGGACGCGCGCGCGCGCGTGACGTCGCCGGTCGTCGCTTTCGAAGAAGCGGACTAAAGGCGAAAGGAGAGACGAGGAAAAAAGACGCCTGACGACATGGTCGCCGCGGAGGCCTCCGCGCCGTCGAACCAGGAGTCCCCCGCGCCCGCGAACGCGGGGGTCAACGCGGGGTCGATCAACGCGGGGTCGATCAACGCGGGGTCGATCAACGCGTCCACGAACGAGTACGCGCAGCAGTGGGCCGCCGCGGCCGCGATGCAGAACGCGTACGCGTACGGCGTCAAGCCCCCGGACGCGGGAGGCGCGGCGGGCGCGATGAACGGCCAAAGCGTGACGAATCAGATGAACGACGCGACGCGCGCGCAGATGCAATCGTACTACGCGCAGATGGCGCAAAACCCGAACCTGTACGCGCAAATGTGGGCGCAGCCCGGCGCGTTCGGCGGCGCGGCCGCGGCGAACATGGCCGCGTACGCCACGAACGGCGGGTACGGCGGATACGGCGCGTCGTACGACCCTTCCGCGACCGCCGCGAATGGCGCGGGGGTGGGTCAAAAACGCGGCAGCGATGACTCGCTCATGAGCGCGGGCGACGACAGCGCCGGCGGCCGCAGCGGGTTCCCGGTCCCCGGGGGCGGCGGCGGCCCCGCGGACGAGCGCGAGCTCAAACGGCAGCGCAGGAAGCAGAGCAACCGCGAGTCCGCGCGACGGAGCCGGCTGCGGAAGCAGGCGGAGTGCGAGGCGCTCGGCTCGCGCGTCGGCGGGCTCGTCGAGGAGAACGCGTCGCTCAAGGCGGAGGTGGCGCGGCTGCTCGCGAATTGCGAAGCGCTGAGCGCTGACAACACGACGCTGCGGAAGAGCGTCGTCGCCGCGGGTGGGGTTGTGGACACGGAGGCGCCGCGGGTGCCGGACGGGCCGACGGAGGAGGAGAAGGCTGCCGCCGCCGCCGCGGGGAAGACGGCCGCCGCGGAGGCGATGGCGAGCGCGAAGCGCGCCGCCGCGCTCGCCGCGGGGGACTCGGACGGCGACGATCAGTCTCCGGGGATCAAAGAGGAGCCGGGGGAGGACGGGGACGACGGCGACGGCGTCACGCCGTGAGCGAGTGGGTGGTCATGAGAACGAACGCCGCAAAGATATGAGGAGGAGGAGGAGGAGGGGACGACGAAGGAAGGCGGCCGCGCGGGCGTCGCTCCGTCTTGAAGCGCGCGCGCCTCTCTCTCGAGAGAGAAGGCGGGCGCGTTCGGACGGCGACATTTCGACGCCCGCGCGCGACGGACGTCTCGCCTTCGACGACGTAGCCGCAATGCATTCGCACCGCGCCACGCGCATCGCAGCACGCGCGTTTAGTCATTTAGCGATGATTTTTTTGTGATTGGAACACACACCATGTTGATGATGATGTTAAAGAGAAGACGACGACGACGACGACGCCCCGAAAAGGTCATCAGCGCATCTCTCCGTCTGCGAGATCTGAAAAAGCGCATCGGAAGACGCGCGCGAAAAGGTAAAGGCCGGCCTGAATTCGCGCGCGGGCGTCGATTAGGGATAGCGCGACGGCACGGCGCGGCATCGACCGCTCGCCGATATCGCCCGGCGCACCCCCCCCCTCGCGTAAGGCGTCCACCGCGCGCGTCGACCCGCGCGGATGACCTCCCCGGGGATGTCCGAGGACGAGATGATCGCGACGCTGTCGTCCATATCCGGCGAGTCGGATCTGGAGGCGTGTCGAGCGCGGCTCGCGGCGCACGGGTTCGACCTCGAGGCCGCGGTGAACGACGCGCTGGGTGTCTCCGCGCCGCCGCCGCCGCCGCCGCCGCCGCCGCCGTCGGGGCCGCGACGGCGACGCCGCGCGACGACGACGACGACGACGACGCGGCCGGTGCCGTTCCGGAGCAACAACGACGTCGTGGGCGGAATCTTATCGATTCCGTTCCGCATCGTCTTCGCCGTCGCGGGCGCCGCGTTGCGCGTCGCCGGGGGCGTCCTCTCCGCGGTGCTTCCCGCGTCGATAACGCGCCGGGTCCGTGCGTTACCACCGGTCACGATCGGCGGCGAGATCGACGACCCGGTCGTCGCCGCGGCCGCGTTCATCGCGGACTTCGACGACAAGTACGTCCGCGACGACGACGACGACGCGGGCGCGTCGTCGGCGCCGGCGTTTCTCCCGTGCTCGCACGCGGACGCGCTCCGAGAAGCCAAGCGCGCGATCAAGTTCCTGTTCGTCTACCTCCACGCCCCGGAGCACGAGGACACGGACGAGTTCTGCGTCAAGACGCTGTGCGACGCGCGCGTGGTCGCGTTCCTCGAGGAGCACGCGTTATCGTGGGGCGGCGACGTGACGACTTCGGACGCCTTTCGCCTCGCCGGCGTCGCCGGCGTCCGACCGAGCGCCTACCCGTACGTCGCGCTGCTCCAAAACGCCGAGGGCGCGAGCGGGCCGGAGCTCTTCATGGCGTGCGAGGGCGCGATCGACCCCGTCGGTCTTCTCGAGGTGATGATGACGGCGATCGCGGAGCAGGGCGACGTCGTGGAAGCCGCGCGGGCGCGGCGGACGGAGGCGCGTTTTTTTTTTCGTTTCGTTTCGTTTCGTTTTTCACCCATCCCTCGGTTTCAACCGTTTCGACGTCTGATCGCGTTATCGTTTGGTCCCTCCCTTTCAACTGACCACCGACGCGCTCCGCTCACTTCCCTTCCTCACTTCCGCAGCGCGACGAAGCGCGGGACATTCGCGCGGAGCAAGACGCGGCGTTTCTCGCGTCGTTGGAGGCGGACGCGAAGCGCGAGCGCGACGCCGCCGCCGCGAGGGAAGCGGAGGTGCGTTCTATCTCACACTAGTTCCCATACGACGGCGTTCGCGTGGTGAACGCCGATCCTTAAGGACTTTTGCCGTCGTCTCTCTCCGCCCATCCCTCGCTTTCAATCCCCATCCTCAACGCCTTCCAACTCCGCTTCTGACGCCTTTCAACTCCACCCCGACATTCGCTCGTATGGAACGACCCTGAGGACGCGGCGAGGCGGACGCGGGAGGCGGAGGAGGCTGCCGCGGACGCGGCGCGGCTCGAGGAGGAGAGGAAAGAAACGGAGAGGCTCGCGACGTTGGCGCGTCGCCGCGAGGCCAAGGCGCGGACGCTGGTCGCCGAGGTCGCCGCGGACGCCGACGGCGCGTGCGTCGTCGCGGTGAAGCTGCCGAACGGGACGCGGCGAGAGCGCGCGTTTTCGTCGTCGCACGCGGTGTCCGACGTGTTCGACTTCGTGGACACGCTGGAGGAGGTGGACGGGATGGAGTATTCGCTCGTGAGTAATTACCCGCGGCGGGTGTTTCAACGCGCGGCGGACGGCGGCGTGACGTTGCTCGACGGCGGTTTACACCCGCGCGCGATGCTCATGTATCGGAGCGACGACTGACGGCCGACGACCGACGACGACGACGACGACGAGAGGGAGGGTTTGTAATGTGATACTGTCTGTCGCGACGCGAAACTAAAACTTCGACGCACTGTGCGCGCGCGAGTCGATATCGATCACAAGTTGTCGTGCAGCTCGAACACGGCGTCGACTTCCATCGTCCACCCCCTCGGCAGCGAGGCGACGCCAACGACGGATCTCGCGCCCTTGCCGCGTTCGCCGAAAATCTCCATCATCGTCTCGCTGAATCCGTTCATCATCTCCGGATGTCGTCCGCCGACAGACGCGGGAGCGGGATCCGCGACCACCACGAACCCGTTCGCTTTCACGAGCCGCTTGATATGGTTCAAGCTCCCGAGTTTCTTCCGCAACACGCTCAACATCGTCAGCGCGCACGCCCGCGCGGCTCGGACGCCATTCGCCGCGTCCGCCGCCGGACCGAGGTGCGACTCCGCCGTCGGCGCGAGGGGCCCGATGCCGCTGACGTGGAGCGTGTTCCCGACCAGTACGCAGAAGTTATACGTCCCCGCGGGCGCCGGCGGCGGCGGGAGCTCCTCGGGGGGCTGAAGCACGACGAGGAGCCTCGCCTCCGGGGTGCCGTCCGGGTGCGGCGGCGGGATCTTCTGCAGCTCGCGAAGGGGCAGCAGCTCCGGGCGCTCGGGCGGCTTCGGCTTCGCCGGCGGCGCCATCTTCTCCCCGATCTCTTTCATCTTCGGCACGACCTTCTCGTCCCAGCCCTTCTTGAAGTTGTTCCATCCGCTCGACATGACGGACGAGGGGATGACGACGTCGCGTCGCGCGTCGCGGGCGGGCGCGCGGACGATGGACGGCCGCGACGGGGGTGCCCGGATCTCGTCGTCCGCGACGATCGATCGCTTCCTCTCGGCTCGGCTCGGCGTCGAGGGGGACGAGCGTCGACCTGCCGCGGGGTTCGCGTGCTCGCGCGAGCGCGGCCGAGGTTCGCTCTCGCGTCGCGCGATGCGAAACGCGGTGCGCGCGCGTCGGAGTGCCCGATCGACGCCCTCGGACGCCGCGAAATACGAATCGAACGGAGAACGCGATATGATCGATCGCATCATCGTCAGCGTCCGAACCCCATCCCGGCGCCACTTCGCGATGCGCCGGCGGACCGGACACGCGGCGGACGAGCCCGCGGCGGCGGCGGACGCGGCGGCGGCGGCGCCGTCGCCGAACGCGCGCGCGTCGCGTCGTCCGTCGTCCGCGTCGGCGCGCGGCGCCGACGGCGCAACCGCGCCGACGCTCCACCCGCTCCTCGTCGGCGTCGCGTGCCTCCTGCTGACGCTCCTCGCGCGACACCGCGTCTTGCACGGCGTCCCGTCCCCGCTCGCGATCGACGCGCCGGACGACGTCTTCTCGGAAGCGCGCGCGATGACGCACGCGAGCGTCCTCGCGGAGGACATCGGCGTCCGCGTCGTCTCCACGCCCGCGATGGACGCGTCCGAGGCGTACGTCCGATCGGAGGCGAACGCGCTCGTGGAGCTCGCGCGACGCGCGCGCGCGGACGACCTCGACGTGCGACTGTCGACGCACCGACCGTCCGGGAGCTTCGCGCTGAACTTTTTGAACGCGGACATCGCGAACGCGTACACGAACCTGACGAACATCGTCGTGCGCGTCGCCGCGAGAGAGGACCCGTCGACCGGCGGCGGCGGCGGCGGCGGCGGCGGCGGCGGCGGCGGCGGCGGCGGCGGCGGCGGCGGCGGCGGCGGCGACGCGTCGTCGTCGTCGTCGTCGTTCAAACCGCGCTCGTCCGTGCTCCTCAACGCGCACTTCGACACGACGCTCGGCAGCCCCGGCGCGGCGGACTGCGCCGCGTGCGTCGGGATCCTCCTCGAGATTCTCCGCCTGTACGTCGTCTCCCTCGATCCGCCGCCGGCGCCGATAATCTTCCTCTTCAACGGCGGCGAAGAGACCTTCATGCAAGCGGCGCACGGGTTCGTCGCGCACCACCCGTGGGCGGCGTCCGTCGGCGTCGCGATCAACGTCGAGGCGACCGGCAGCGAGGGCCCGGACGTGATGTTCCGAGAGACCGGGGGCTGGCCCGCGGAGGTGTACGTCTCGACCGCGCCGCGGCCGGTGACGACGCCGACGATTCGAGATTTGGTTCGGTTCGCGTCTCTGCCCGTGGACACCGACTTCAGCGTCTTCAGGGACCCCACGGAACCGCACGGCAACCTCCCTGGGATCGACATCGCGTCCATGCTCGGCGGGTACACGTACCACACGTCCGTCGACGACGTGGACCGCGTCAAGCCAGGGATGGTGCAGGCGTACGGAGAGAACGTGTTCGAGGCGACCAAGGCGTTCGCGACGAAAATCTCGGAAATCTCGGAAGGCATCTCCGGAGGGGACGACGTTTCCGGAAACGAATCGTCGTCGTCGCGCCGCATCCCCGTCGGACCCGGGACCGGGTCCGCGCTGTTCGACGTCTTCGGCGCGTTCGGGGTCGTGTACGGGCCGAAGAATAGGGTGTTACACGGCGTGTTACACGCCGTTCCGCTGCTCGCGTGTCTGGCGAGGACGACGCTCGGCGCGAAGAAGGATCGCCGCTCGCGCGCGGCGCGAGGCGCGAAGACGACGATCCGCGCGTGGGTCTCCGCGGTGGCGCTCCCCGCGGCGTGCGGCGCGTCCAGGGCGCTCGTCTCCGGCCGACCGCTGGTGTGGTTTGGGAAGCCGTTGCTCACGGCGGCGTTGTTCGCGCCCCCCGCGGCGGCCGGGTTACTGTACCCGTACGCGGACGCGAGGCGAAAATCTCGCGTCGGGGTCCGCGCCGACGCCCCGCCGCTGTCCGTCGCGGACTGCGTCGACGGCGCGGCGCTCGTGTCTTCCGTCCTCGCCGCGGTCGTCGGCGCCGCGGGCGCGGCGATGGGGTACGTCTGCGCGCTGTGGGCGTTCGGTCTGGTCCTCGCGGGCTCGCCGTGGGCGCGTTTGCGGCGCGGTTCGCGAACCGCGGCGGCGGCGACGACGGGTTTTTTCGCGTTCGCGTGTCTTCTCCCCGCGGCGGCGCTCTCCGCGCCGATCGCGTACGTCACGTTCGTGCTCTTCAGCGAGAAGGTCGGCATCCTCGGGTCGCACGTCTGGCCGATCGGGCTCGCGGTCGGCGACGCGGTCATGGGCGCGGGCGTCGGGACCGCGGCGGTGCTCCTCGCCGGGGGGTTCGCGCCGGCGATTTCGTGTTCAGGTGCGTTCTATACAAAAGTTTTTCACCCACCGCTCGGTTTCAACACTTGATCGCTCCCCCTTTCAACTGACCGGTGAACTGTTTTTGTATGGAACGCACCTCAGGGAAGACGGCGAGGACGACGGCGCGGCGGGTCGCGCTCGCGTGGGCGCTGACCGCGGTCGCGTCGTCGATTGCGTGCTCGCCGTACAGCGCGCGCGCGCCGAAACGCCTCGCGATCATTCACAACCACGACGCGAACGGCGTGGACGGCGACGGTCTGCTGAGTGAGACGGCGGTCGAGTTCGTCGTCGGCGCGTTCGACTCGGTGCCGGCGGTGAACGCGTTGTCGCCGCTGGACCGGGACGGGGTGCGACGCGCGACGCGCGCGGATGACTTTTTCGGGCTCTACCCGGTGTCGAACCTCCTCGGCGAGGGCGTCATCTTGCCGTCGACGCGAGCGCGCGCGCCGCCGTGGGGAACGGACGCGTCCGCGCCGACGCTGACGATCGCGAGAGTCGACAGGAGCACCGCCGGCGTCTCGATCGAAGTCGTCTTCAACACGACGGCGCCGGCGTGGTCGTGCGCGCGCGTCTCCGGCCCGATCGTCTCATGGTCTCTCTCCCGCGCGCTCCCGGGCGACGGCGCGCGCGCGGCGTCGGCGTCGAAGAAGAAGAAGCACCGCGTTCTGTGGGCGCGTCACGCGGGCAACGGCGAGCGCGCGGCGGTGTGGCGATGGACGATGGACGTGGCGACGACGGCGGACGTCGACGACGTCGTGATCGACGCGTGGGCGTTGTACCCGGGAGAGAGCGACGAGCTGTCCGGGATCGTGGACGGGTTGACGCCGCACACGAGCGCGATCTTGGGGACGATGTACAAGGCGAAGACCGCGCGGGGGGGGCGATGAGGAGGGGTCGACTGCGTAGTCTACCGTATGATAGTTACTTCCGACCTTCGTAGGATAGTCTGCACGCGATGAAGAACCGCCCCCCCTCGAGAACTAACGCGGCCGGCGCGACCGTCGTCACGGCTTCGACGCGTCTCCGTCGCCGTTCGATTTCCTCCCCACGTCGCTCGTCGTCGCCGCGGTCGCCGCCGCCTTCCTCTTCTCCTCCAGCGTCACCGCGGTGTACCAGCAGATGCTCGCGACGGCGACGGCGATGCCGGCGTCTTGCCGCGCGCTCGGCGGCGCGTCGAAGAACATCACGCCGAGGATCAAGATCGTGATCGTCTTCGCCAGGCCGAGCATGGAGTACACCAGCGCGGACGCCTTCCCGCCGACGAAGCACGACGACACGTTCACCGCGAGGCCGAGCGCGCAGGAACACGCGAAGAGGAAACCCCCGGTGCCGTCCATCCTGAACCCCGCCGCCTCCCCGCCTCCTTCCGTCTCGACGACGACGCCGCTCCCGCTCCCGCCGCCGCCGCCGCCGCCGCCGCCGCCGCCGCCGCCGCCGCCGCCTACCCCCCCAGCCCCCCCTAAAGCGAGCCACCCCTTTAAGATCCCCCAGTCCTGGTACCCCGCGAGGACGAACATGAACGCGCTGCAGTACGGCATCGTGTTGTACAGCAGCTGCAGCGTCTCCCACCCGTGCGCCTGTTGAAGGTGCGAATACAAGACGATCTCCACGGACGTACACGCGACGCCGGCGGCGGCGATGAAAGCGCCGACGAACGTGAACGTCACGTCGCTCGCGCACGCGACGGCGACGCCGGCGGTCATCGCGCACAGGAGCACGATCTTCCGTCGCGTGATCTTCCTCCCGAGTTTGACGTATTCGATGCACGCCACGAGCGGCACTTGCATCTGTTTCGTGATCTGAGGGTCGTTCCATACAAGCGAATGTCGGGGTGGAGTTGAAAGGCGTCAGTTGAAGTTGAAAGGCGCCGAGGGCGGGGATTGGAAGCGGGGGGTGGGCGTCGAGAGGCGCCGGGAAAAGTCCTTAAGGAACGGCGTTCACCACGCGGACGCGGTCGTATGGGGACCAGTGTATAGAACGCGCCTGAAAGAACCCGACGGAGTTCATCTTGAGCGACGCTTGCCCGAGCGCGATCGCGCCGCCTTGCAGACACGCGATCGCGAAGATCTGCGCGTCCCACTCCGCGTGTCTGAGCTTGAATATCCCGCCCGCGTGCGCGGCGCGCGTGAACAGAGACGTCACGCACAGGTGCGCGGCGGCGAGGGACAAGATCGGAAACGCGGTCTTCAGGAACAAAAACTTGTTCACGAAGATGATGGCCATGGTGACCGCGTAGTTGAACCCGATCGCGCCCGCGGCGACGATGAAGTCCTTCTGCATGAGGACGTCCGTGGTCAACATGACGGACGAGGACGCGACACGGCGCGCGCGGTTGAGAGTGCGCCCGCGCGCCCGACTCTGGAGCGCGTTCGGACACATCCCGTCAGAAGTCTCGCCTGCCGCCACCCACGCGTTTCTGCACTGGCGGTCAGCTCAGATCGGTCGGTCGTCGTCATTCCGACCGACCGCGAAGTTCAAGCCTCCACTTCGACGCACGGTGGGGAAAAAAGACAGAGATCGTCCAGTCGTTGACGCGCGCCATGAGCGGGTTCTTCAACGCGATGACGGACCCGGCGGTGAGGCGTTTCCCTTGATATCCCTCGCAGTTCATCGTTTACCCTTCCCGCGTCGATCGCGGTCGTCACCGCCGCGATCGCGCGTCGCGCGCGCGTCTCGCCGCGCGCGAACTTTTTCCCTCCATCTCGCCGCCCTCGCGCGTCCCCTCCGCCTCGCGCGCCTTCCCTGAGCGTTTCGTTTTTCCGCGGTGCCGACCCTACCCTCCGAGGCGCCTGTTCGGGATGCAAGCCACCACGAACGACGCGAACGCGACGGAAGCGACCGCCGCGGACGCGAGCGGCGCGGGCGGCGCGCCGGCCGCGATCGCGCCGCGAGATCCCGCCGCCGCCGTGGACGCTCGGACGTCGCCCGCGGTCGACGACGACGACCGCACGCGATCGGTGAAGCGCACGCGCTCGTCCGACCGCCTCGCGGCGCCGCAGCCGGTCGCGATCGCGGTGCCGCCGATCCCGGCGACGCAGACGACGTTTTTCGCCGGGATCGCGAGCGGGGCGCCGCCGGGGCAGCCCGCGATCGGCGCGACCCCCGGCTTTCCCTTTCCCGCGGGCGCGGCGGGGGCGAGCGCGACGACGACGATGCCGCCGCCGCCGCCGTCGAAACCCGACGCGCCCGCGGTGGTGACCGACGCGGCATTCGTGGTGACCGACGCGGCCTTCGTGTGCCCTCCCGCGTACGGCGCCGCGCCGCCGCCGTCCGCGGACGGCGCCGCCGCGGAGGAGCCGAAGAAAGAGGTGGAGCTCGTCGGACGCCTGGACGAGACCACGGGCAAGCGGATGCTCACGCCCCTCGAGGCGGTGCAGCCGAGCCTGATCGGTCGATACGTCGAAGTCCTGTGGCCGGACGACGGGACGTGGTGGAAGGCGAAAGTCACGCACCTGGTCCCGGGGACCGGGATGGCGACGCTGTTCTACGAGAACGCCGCGACGGAGAAGAAGGAGGAGGGCGCGGACGCCGCGAAGTCGGAGGAACGGGCGCCGGCCGCGGGGGCGCCCGCGGCGGCGGCGGAGGACGGCGCCGCCCCGATGGACACCGACGCGCCCACGCCCGCGCCCGCGCCCGTCGACGAGGAAGATCCCGAGGGCGAGATCGAGGAGCTGAACCTCCAAGAGGCCGCGACGAACAACGAGGTGTCTTGGCACCCCGACGAGGTGGAACGCGTCAAGCGCGAATACGAAGCGCTTCTCTCGCAGACGGGCCCGATCGCGCCCGCGGACAAGGCGGCGGTGCCGTGCCCGCACTGCGATAAGCGCGAGTTCAAGTACCTGCGGTCGATGGAGAAGCACTGCTGGAACGACCACGGCGTGAGGATCTCGCGGGAGGAGATGGAGACGTTTGAGCGGCAGCTTCGCGCCGGCCGCGCGCTCCTCGGCCCGCGTCCGCCGCGCCCGGGCCGGCGGTACAACCCGCCCCCCGAGCTCATCACGATCAACTACGATGACTACTACAACATCCTCGACAGCGACGACGCGATCAAAGAGCGCGCGATCAAGCGCGTGGAGACGACGAAGGCGGCGATGGAGATTTCCCGCAAAGCCGGCGGCCCCGAGGGTCAACGCGCGACGCTGTGGAGCGCGATGGAACGCGACCTGTGCCACATCTGCGGCGAAGCCGATCCGGACTTTTGGGGCATCGAGGGCGACCTCATCGTCATGTGCGACGGCTGCGACGAGCAGGCGCACCTGTCCTGCTACGGCCTCACGGAGGTGCCGGAAGGGGACTGGTTCTGCCAAGGCTGCGTCGACGGCGTCAAAGTCGGCCCGGGCATGCCGGACGACTCGGGGATGTGCGCGCTGTGCCCGGTCCCCGGCGGCGTTCTCGCGCGCGTGCAACCGCCATCTCGATGGGCCACGGACTGGGGCGCCGACGGCTCGCACGCGCACTTGTGCTGCGCGTCGAGCCTCAGCGAAGTCGCGGTGACGCCGTCTACGACGTGCGCGCCCGTCATCGACATGTCGCGCGTGAAGAACTCCCGGATGGCGCTCATGTGCGGCCTGTGCGGACTCGCGGGCGGGTGCGTGCAGTGCTCGATGAAGAACTGCTTCCAGGGGTTCCACGTCCTGTGCGCGCGCGCGGCGGGGTTGGAGCACCTGTACGCGGACAAAGAAGCCGGCGACCCCGCGATTTTTTTCTGCGCGGAGCACTCGGCGCCGACGTTTGCCATTCGTCGGTTAAAATCGGCGGGGCTCGTCGCCGCGACGGGCGCGGCCACGCAGGCTGCTCCTGGTGATAAAGCGAACGCCGAGAACCCGGACGGCGCGACGGACAACGAAATGCGGCTCGCGGCGAACTTCGAGATGAAGATGGAGGGCCTGAAGACGGAGGAACGCAAGGCGATTTTCGTCGTGCGGCTGTGGCACCGGTTCGTGCCGTTCCTTCCTCAGCCCGCGGACCCGGCGAGACGCGCGGATCTCATGAAGCGCTCCGGGAAGTACGCGATGCGCGTCATGGTCCGAGCGAAGATCCCGGAGAAGGAGATGAACCGGCTCGCCGCGCTCACGGACGCGCAGGGCGAGGCTGAGGTCAAGGACACGCACGACGCGGCGACGAAACTGGCGCTGAACGAGGCGAAAAAAGGGGACCACCTCAACGCGGGTCTGCGGCCGTACCAACGCGAAGGCGTCGCGTGGCTCGCCGCGCAGCACGCCGCGGGCGCGGGCGGCGGCATCCTCGGCGACGATATGGGCTTGGGTAAAACGCTTCAGTGTCTGTCGTTTCTGCAGTATCTCCGCGACGCGAAGAACGAGAGCGGCCCGCACCTCGTCGTCTGCCCGCTCTCGGTGTTGCCGACGTGGGTGCAAGAGGCGAAGCGGTGGTGCCCTTCCCTACGCGCGGTCGCCTTCCACGGGCCCGAGGCGGAGCGTAACCGCCTCAAAGAAGAGGTTCTCATCCACGGCACGTTCGACGTCCTCGTGACGACGTACGAGATGCTCACCGCGGAGCAGTCCATGCTCGCGGCGAGGTTCCACTTTCGGTATCTGATTTTGGACGAGGCGCAACGCGTCAAGAACGACGCGTCTCTCGTCTCGCACGCCGTGCGACGCGTCCGCGCCGCGTCCGCGCTGCTTCTCACGGGCACGCCGCTTCAAAATAACCTCCACGAGCTGCGAGCTCTCGTGTCCGTGCTGTTCCAGGACGTCCTCGAGGCTGCGGGCGCGGAGAAGATGGAGTCGGACGGCGCCGCGGCGTTTGGCGACGACACCGCCGTCGCCGCGGCGCGTTCGCTTCTTCAGCCGCTCATGTTGCGGAGAACGAAAGCGGCGGTGCTGAGCAAGGACCTCCCGCCGAAAACGGAAACGGTCGTGCGCATTCCGTTATCCGAGAATCAAAGAGAGTGGTACAAGATCCTTCTCGAGAACGAGAAGGGGCTCTTCGGCAAGCTCGCGACGACGAACGCGACGTCGGAGAAGGAGGCGCTGGACAACGGCAGATGCATCGCGGAGCAGAGCGCGCTCGACGCCGGCGACGAAGAGATTTCGGAAGAAGCCGAGGAGGACATCGACGTCGCGGCGGCGAAGACGCCCGGGATGAAGAAGTCGCAGAGCATGAGCGAGGTTGCTCCCGCGAAGACCCCGGGGACGGGCGGACGCAAGGGCGGCTCGCAGCAGTTCACGAAGCTGAACAACCTCCTGATGCAACTCCGAAAGGTGTGCTGCCATCCGTTTTTGTTCGGCGACGAAGCCGTGCACGCGGCGGTGGCGAAGCACGGCGGCGATCGCGTCGAAGCGCTCATCGCCGCGAGCGGAAAGCTCACCGCGCTCGATGAGATGCTCCCGAAGCTCCACGCGGGCGGGCACAAGGTGCTCATCTTCTCGCAGTTTAGCATGATGCTCGACGTCCTCGAAGAGTTTTGCGAAGCCAGGGGCCACGCGCACCTCAGGTGCGTTCTATACACCGGTCCCCATACGACCGCGTCGGCGTGGTGAACGCCGATCCTTAAGGACTTTGCCCGGCGTCTACATCTCTCCGCCCACCCCCCGCTTTCGATCCCCGCCCTCGATGCCTTTCAACTCCGCTTCTGACGCCTTTCAACTCCACCCCGACGTCACTTCGTATGGAACGACCCTCAGACTCGACGGTAGCACGTCGCTCGCGCGGCGGCGATACGAGACCGCGCTGTTCAACAAACCAGACGGCCGGCACTTCGTCTACCTGTGCTCCACGCGCGCGGGCGGCCTCGGGATCAACCTTCAGTCCGCGGACACGGTCATCCTCGCGGACCCGGACTGGAACCCCACGTACGATCAGCAGGCGCAAGACCGCGCGCATCGATTGGGGCAGAAGCGACCGGTGACGGTGATTCGCATGTGCCACGCGTCGAGCGTGGAAGAGGGCATCCTCGCCGTCGCCGCGAAGAAGGCGTCGCTCGCGGCGGCCGTTCTCGCCGGGCTCGAAGCCGGCGCGGACGTCAAGGCGCTCGACGCCGCGAACGCGGCGAGCGCGCAAGACCCGGCGGCGGCGGCGAAGTTGTCCTTCACCGAGCTGCGCGAGATTATTCTCGCCGGCGCGCACGCCGCGGACGCGCCGGCGGCGTTCAACGATTCGAAAGCCGACGCGAACGCGAAGAAGAAGACGCGCGGGGGGGACCCGAAGACCCCGGCGGGCAAGGGCGGGAAGAAGGACGCGCAGACCGAGGGCGCGGAGGCGCTCGCGCGCGCCGCCGCGAGCAGCGGCAAGGCGCAGGGGCACATGACGTGGGAAGGCCGCGACTACAAGCACCAGGCCAACGCGGCGTCGAAGAAGGAGATCGCCGACCTGTGGGTCGAGAGCATCGGCACAAAGAAGCGCGAGCGCGTGCAGACGATCGAGTACGTCGACGCCGGCGCCGGGTTAGGGATGCAGGCGGTGTCGAGGGCGTCCATCATGGAGGCGAGGGAGGCGGAGGACAGAGAACGGCGCGCGGCGGCGGCGCGCGAAGCCGCGCGCTCCAAGGCTACGGAACGCGCGGCCAAACACGAGACGAAGTGCTGCGGGTGCGACGGCGAGGGCGTCTGCGTAAAGCCCCCTCCCGCGTTCCTCGCCCCGGACGTCGCCGCGGAGCGTCTGCGGTGCCGAAACTGCCCGCGCGTCATGTCGATGGGGTGCGCGCGGCTCGTGGTCAAGCCGCGGATGGGGTGGCAGTGCCCGCAGCACCACTGCAAGTCGTGCAACAGGACCGCGTCCGAGGCGGGCGGGCTGATGTTCCGCTGCGTCGACTGCCCGAGCGCGTTTTGCGCGGAGTGCAACGGCGATACCCCGTTCGACGCGGTCGAGGGGCACCCGGAGTGGGAGTCGATGGGCTTCTACCTTCCGAAGTCGTTCGAGTACGTGCGCTGCAACGAGTGCGTCGTCTCGAAGAGCGAGAGGGAGGAGGCGGAGAGGCTCGCGGCCAACACCAAGGCGAAGACGCGCCAAGGGAAGACCCCGGGCGGCGCGGACGGCAAGAAGACGACCGGCGGCGCCGCCGCCGCCGTCCCCGGGAAGAGCGCGAGCGGGAGGACGACGTGCAAGCACGAGTCCGCGGACGGCGTCCGGTGCGTCAAGATGCCGAGAACCGCCGGCTTCTGCGACGAGCATCACAAGAAGAGGAAAGAGGAGGAGGAAGCCGCGGCGAAGAGGGCGAAGGAGGAGGCTGCGAAGCCTCCTAAACCGGCCGCCGCCGCGCCGGGGTCAGGATCCTCCGCGAAGAGGTCAGGCGGCGGCGGCGGCAAGGACGGCAAGGAGAAGAAGGCGCGAGTGAACCTCGGCCCCGTCCCCGGCGGGCGGTGCGCGGTGTGCGTGATCGCGAAGAAGGGCCGATGCGGCACGGAGACGGCGCCGAAGAGTTGCAAACGCCGGGGCGAAGCGCCCGCCGCGCCGCCGCCGCCGCCGCCGCCGCCGGTGGAGGTGAAGAAGGAGAAGGTGAAGAGGCTGCCGCATCAGATTGGGAAGAAGATCGCGGTCGCGTCCGTGAGCAAGAACAAGCGCAAGCGCTGAGAGCGACGACGCGCGCGTCTGTCGATTCTGAATTCATTTTTGTCGAATACGTTGAAGAAATTCTTTCAAGAGAAGAGACGCCTTCCCGCGCGATCGCGCGCCGCGTCAACTATCCATAGTCGTTGACGTGTGCCCGCGCGAACGAGCGGAAATCAATCGCGCTCGTTCGGTGTTTCCCTCCTTCAGTGCGCCGGGATGGGCTCGCCGTCGTCCGCGTTTTTTTCGCGCGGGTCCCTTATCTTATTCAACCACACCCACCGCACGCACATCGACCCGACGATGACGAGGTAATAGTAAAATATCGACATCCACACCGCCTTGAGGGATAACGCCCCGTTCGCGATCGCGTATTTCAGCGACCCCCAGCACGCGGCGGCGCCGCCGAGGAAGATCCAGTTCACCGCTCCCGCGTCGCCGCGGCCGATGAGCGCCCCCTCGAGGGCTTTGTACCAGTACATCATCACCGACGCCATCAGGATAGGGTACGCCGCGAGCGCGGCGTCGACGACGGCGACGTCGGACGTGAACGCGCCCAAGATTTGTACCCGCAGCAGATAGAAGAAGGCCGAGAAGATCGTGCTCGTGACCACCCCGAACGACGCGACGACGTTGCCCGCTTCCCTCGCCGCGCCGTCGCCGTGAGACACGGACAAACGCGCCGTCAGCGTGTTCGCGACCGTGCACAGCGCGCCGCTGCCGATGGACAGGACGCAGCAGATTTGAAATATCAACACGTGCGCGGCGCCCTCGCTGACGCCCAGACCGGACGCGACCGCGCCGGTGTAGAACCACACGGCGACGAGGTTTAACACGCGGCCGAGGACGCTGAAGACTTCCTTCGCGTAGGCCCACGCGACGCCCGCGTCGAACGACGGGAACGGCGTCGTCACCCCGACGCCCTCCTCGAAAAAGTTTTTCATTCCGCGCCCTTTGAACGTGAACCACGTCAGCATGATCGCGGAGGCGTACTGCGCGATGACCGTCGCGAGCGCGGCGCCGTTGAAGCCCATGCCCACGGTGAAGATGAGGACGGGATCGATGATGAGATTAAGCACGCCGGCGAGGAGGATGCCCGCCGCGGGGGTCTTCGCATCCCGCGCGGACTGGCACGCGCCGGCGATGACGTCGATGATGATCACCGCGGGGACGCCGATCGCGCGCCATCGCATGTACTCCGCGGCGATGCCCACGATCTCCGGCGAGCACCCGATAAAGTTTACGACTTGCGCGGAGAAGAGGAGCAAAAACGCGGTGCACGCCAGTCCGAACGCGGTCGTCACGCTCATGACGTTTACCATCGTGCTCCCGGCGAACCCGCCCTTCCCGCCTCTCTTCTTGTCGATCACGTCGCGCTCGAGCGCGATGGCGACGGACCGCGTCGTCGCGGTCCCGATCCCGTGCATCGCCACCACCGCGATGATGGACGAAAAGATGCACGTGTTCGGTCCGAGCGCCGCGAGCGCGGTCGTGCCGAGCCACGCGACCCAGTACGTGTCGATGCTCCCGAGCACCGGCTCCGCGATCGCGGTCGCGGCGCAGATCAGGAGCTGCAGGATCGTCGTCGTGGACGTCGCGCTCTCGAACCCGAGCTGTTTCATCTCGTCTTCGGTCATCGACTCGGACGGCGCGTCCTCGTGGGACCCGCCGGACGCGTCGGCGTAGGACGCGCCGTCCCCGTCCGCGGCGATCGCGGCGTTGCGGCGCAGACGAATCAACCCGGTCGTCCTCCTCGTCGTCATCGGCGTCGTCGTCGTCGTCGTCGTCGTCGTCCATCGCTGCACCGTCTTCGCGTCGCCGCCGCCGCGTCGGCGGACCGGTCTGGCCGACGCGGCGACCCATCGGATCGGCGTCCTTTCGTCGGTAGTCATCAGAGCTCTCGAGCGCGGCGCGCCGAAGACGCGAAGCGCGCGGGGCGCGCACGCGACGCTCATCCCGCGCGATCTCGCGTGTGTCGCGCTACGACCGAGAAGACGTCGCGATCGCCGTCGTGCCTGGCGCGTCGTCGTCTGGAGGGAGGACGCGTCGAAAAGACGCGCGAAACCAGTCACGGACGGGGCGGGTGAGCTGTGCGGGTGAGCTCTCCAGCTGAGCCGATGAAAAAAAAAAGTTTGATAAACGAAACCAAAAAAAATCCATCGGACAAAATCTCGGTGAAACCTCCCCGATGAACGGTTCTTAAAAGCGTTCTAGTACAACTAGAGGCGAGGCGAAAAGCACCGTATGCGGTGACAGCTGTGAGCGCGGCGGGTGCGGGAGCTCGAAATGAGAGTTGAGATGAGTTGATGATGAGCGCGTTCGACGAGGGCGGCGGCGGCGCTATCCTCATCACTTCTTCCCCTTCTTCCCCTTCTTCTTCGCGGCTTTCGCGCGCGCCTTTTCCTCCTCCGCGATCCGCGCCGCTTCCTCCGCGGCGATCCTCGCCGCCTCCTCCGCGGCGGCGATGTCCGCGAGCTTCTGAGGGTCGTTCCATACAAAGCGATGTCGGGGTGGAGTTGAAAGGCGTCAGTTGGAGTTGAAAGGCGTCGATGGCGGGGATTGAAAGCGAGGGATGGGCGGAGAGACGCGCCGGGCAAAGTCCTTAAGGATCGGCGTTCACCACGCCAACGGGGTCGTATGGGGACCAGTGTATAGAACGCACCTGATTCGCCCCCGCGAGCTCTCGTCTCGCGTCCTCCAACTCCGCGAGTCGATGCGCCTCGTCCACCGCCTCCCTCTTCTTCTTCACCTCCTCCTCCTTCCTCCGCTTCGCCTCCTCCGCCGCCGCAGTCTCTCTCGCGTCCTCCTCCTCCGCCTCCGCGGCGTCGAACGCCTCCCTCGCGAGCGCGACGCGCAGCGCGCTCCTCGCGACTTCGCCGTCTCTCTCGACGTCGGCGACGCATCGACGCACCGCCTCCTTCGTCGCGCTCTGCGGGTCGTTCGTTCCGTAACGATAGCGACGTCGGGGTGGAGTCGATGGGCGGACGTCAGACGGAGTCGAAAGGCGTCATAGGGTCGGGCGTTGAAACCGAGGGGTGGGGGCGGAGAGACGACGGCGAAAGTCCTTAAGGATCGGCGTTCACTACGCGAACGGGGTCGTATGGGAACCGGCGCGAGGAGAACGCGCCTGCGCCGGCGTCGTGCCGTAGTTGTTCACCGCGCGCACGTCCGCGCCCCTCGCGAGCAACCTCCGCGCGATCCCCAGGTGGTGATTCGCGCACGCGACGTGCAGCGGCGTGTTGTCGAGCTCGCCGACCGCGTTGACGTCGGCGCCGTGCGATAACAACGCGGCGGCGACGAGTTCGTCGCCGACGTGGCACGCCCAATGCAACGCGCCGTCGCCGAGGGGTCCCGGTTCCGGCGCGGTAACCGTCGTCTTTGAGGCGTTATTCGCGTTCGAGTTCGCGTTCGAGGGGTTCGTCTTGGCGTCCTCGGAGTTGGCGTTCGCGCGCGCGTTCGGGTTCGCGCCGTGGTGGAGGAGGCGGATCGCCGCCGCCGTGCGCCTCGCGGCGACGGCGGCGACGAGCGGCGTCGCGTTCGTCGTCTCCGCCCTCGAATCGACGTGCACGCCGCCTCGGACCGCGGCGTCGATCGCGGCGACGTCGCCGTCCGTCGCCGCCTCGAAGATGTCCACGTCGATCGCGGGCGGCTCTTCCGCCGTGGGGGGTTCTTCTTCTTCCGCCGCGTCGGCGTCGTCGTCCTCGTCGTCCTCGGCGTCCGCGTCCGCGTCGGGGGGATCCGCGTTTTCAGGTTCCACCGGCGTCGTCGCGGGGGCGTCCTCCTCCGCGGCGGGCGCCTCCGGCTCGGGCGCCGCCGCCGCGGGTTCCGGCTCCTCGGGTTTCGCGGGCTCGTCCGCGGGCGCGGCGTCGACGTTCGGCGGCGTGTTCTCCGCCGCCGCGGTCGGGTCTGGAGGCGCGGAGCCGGGGGGGGGGATCGGCGGGGGTGGGAGGGGGGATCGGAGCTCAATTTGGGTGACGACGCGACGCGAGGACGCGCGCGCGAGGCGGGTCCGCGGCGGCGGCGACGACGACGCGCGCGGTCCGATGGAAGAACAAAACGTCCGCGAGCGACGACGACGACGACGAAGTCGCGCGGCGCACCTGTTTCCTCGGTCATGACGCCCGCCGTGCTCGCGCGCGGGATCGCAGTGCCGGATTCGGCGACGACGACGGGCTGACGACGAACTGAACTGCTGAATGTGAAAAAAACTTTTTGTGTTCCGCCCCCGCGCTCGGATGCACGCATACGAGCTGATAGTCGTAGTCTATGATAAATAAATCCAACAGATCACATCGCGTCGCTCGCCGCCGCGTCACCCTCGACAACGATTACCTAAGCGGCGGCCCTCTGGCGAGCAAGTACTCCGCCTGGTGCTCCACGACGAACTCCCCTTCCGCGAACAGCCACTTCATGATCGGGTCCCGCTGCAACGCGCAAATTTTATTATGCGCGAGCGGCGCGAACCCGGGAAACTCCACGTCGACGTGATGCCACGCCATCGTCCTCAGCCCCGCGCTCATCCGCCGCTGCCATCGCAGATCCAAATTGGAGCGCCGTCGCAGGAGCGCGCTCGATCGATTCAACTGCGCGTCGTCCATCTCGCGCAGAGACGCGTCGAACGGCGCGGCGGCGGTTTCTCTCTCGTCCACGATCCTGGGGACGCCGCCGAAGCCGCCGCCGACGAAGTCCGGGGGGTATCCGCCGCCGCTCCCGACGGCCCACCCGCCGACGTTGTCGCCGACGGCGTCGTCCGCCCAGTCGCTCACGGTCTCGGTTATGCTGTGGTGGTGGTGGTGGTGATGTTCGTTCGCGGCGGTCGCCGCGGCGTCGGAGCCGTCGCCGCCGCCGCGCGCGCGCGACCGTTGACGTTCCATCTTCCTGCGCTCGCGCATCCACCGCGCGCCGTCCGGGTCGAGCGACGCGGTCTCGTACGCGACGAGGAAATCGTTCACCGCGTTGGCGTACGCGCATCGTCTCCGGAACGACGCGAGTGCGGGAATGAACGGCAGCGACGGCGTCGCGATTGAAGTCGAATCGTCGTCGTCGAACCCCTCGCCGCCCACCTCGCCCATCTCCACAAGCAGCGGGACGTCCCGCCGGTTCTTCCCCACGCCCCCGGCGTCCAAAAGCATCAGCTGCCGCGTCGACGGCCCCATGAGATTCCCGGTGAACGCGCGCACCGCCGCGGGGAACAGCCCGATCCATCCGAACGGCCCGACCCCCAAGTGCGGCGTCGCCGTCGTCAGGTACGTGTCCGGGATCAACCCCGCGATCGTCCCGGCGCCGCGCGGGCTCCGCCCGGGCCCGCGCGGGCTCGGCGGCTGGTTCCGCCACAGATCAGCGCCGCCGCCGTCGTCGTCGTTCGATCGACCCTTCCCCGGCGAGTCGTCCTCGTCGGCTTCGTAGAGCAACGCCGCGGCGTATCTCGCGTAGACGCCCCCCAACGAGTTCCCCACCATGGAGATGTAGACCAAGCTCGGGTGCGCGGCGACGACGGCGCGGATGTCGTCCGCGACGCGCTTCGCGCCGTTCGCGATTCCGTCGAATGACTTTGTCAGCGCGTTGCACCCGGGCGCGTGCACCAGGACGGAGTCGCCGCCGCGGCGCTTCAGATTCTTCTCGAGGCACGCGAGATCGTGCGGCGTGCCGCCGAGGCCGTGGATCAGGACGTACAGGTGCGTCGGGCCCTCGGGGTGCTGCGCGTTCTCAGCCTCCGCGAGGACGGCGAACGAGCGCGTGCGGCGGCGCACGCCCGCGGCGCGAGGAGACCCGGGCGCGTGCGTCGCGAGCGTCTGATGATCCATCGGCTCGAAGAATATGCTCGACAGCTGCGCGCGCGCGCCGCCCGCGCGTCTCGCCTTGCGATCGGAGATCTTCGCTCTCCAGTACGAGACGTCGAAGGCGTGGAACATCCCGCTCACGAGCGCCATCGCGGCGATGGAGAGGATGCGAAGGACGAGGAGGAAGCGGAGGAAGACGACGAAGTAGAGCCCGCGGATCGCCCAGATGATCAGCGAGAGCGTGAACTCCCACATGCGCCGATCGCGGCCGCGGAGGAGAGGACGACGACGACGCGACGACGACGACGACGACGCGACGACGACGACGCGACGACGACGACGCGACGACGGCGAAGCGACGGCGACGGCGGCGCCGCGAGCCTCGGACACGAGGATCGACCCCTTCGCCGCGAGTCGTGGATATGCCCTGTCGGACGATCGGGGGTCGGGTTTCGAGAGGCGGTTTCGAGCGCGCGCGCGGCGATTTTCTTCGAGAAGATTCCTCTTCGTCGCGTCGCCGCGTCGCCTTCGTATTCTTCTATCATATCATACCGTCTACCCTCGCGCCTATCGCTCGATGCTACCACCTAGACGCGCGTCCGTCGCCGCGTCGTCGCCGTCGCGTCCTCACTCCGGCTCGCCCTGCCCGAAGTACCTCCCCGCAATGGCGTAGCACACCTGCAGCCGCGGCAACGACGGATCCGTCGCGCGTCGCGTCGAGGCGCGCAACTTGGACAGCGCCTTCGCCGCGGCTCTGATCGCCGCGGACGTCTCCGCGTCCAGGGGGAGGCCCACGCGCGCGGACAGCGCGAAGAACCACGCCGCGCGGCGTCGCGAGAACGATATCGGCGACGGTTCAGGGGACGAACCGTCGCGGTCGCCGTCGTCGTCGTCGTCGTCGTCGTCGTCGACCGACGCTTCGATCGCGCGCGCGTGCTCGCGCAACAACGCCGCGCTCGTGAGGTCGTCGATCTCGAGCAGGAGACTCTCGTGCGCGAACCAATGCGGCGAATGTCCATCCCCTGAACCGTCGTCGTCGTCGTCGACGACGACCTCGTCGTCGACGACGACCTCGTCGTCGTCGTCTTCGCCCGCCAGCGCCGCGTCCGACGCCTTCGTCGCCGCCGCCGCCGCCGCGCGCGCGCCGTCGCCGCCGCCGCCGTCGTTCCCGAGCCGCGCCATCGCGCGCGTCATCGCCGCTCGGACGTCCGAAAAGTCCGCGAGGAACGCGTCGCGCCACGCGCGGTCCATGATCGCGTGCGGCGGCGCGGGCACGCACGCGGCGTTACGCTGCGCGCGCGACAGCTGGCTCCCTTTACGCGACGCGGACGCCGCCGCGAGTTCGCGCCTTCGATCGAGCGACGCCGACGCCGACGTCGACGTCGACGACCGCGACCGCGACTCCGGCGGCATCGAGGACGACACCATCACGTCCGGTACCTGCTTCGCCTCGTGCCTCACACGTCGGAGGTACTCCAGGCCGTCCATCGGAGGGCCGGAGTCGAAGTCTGGGTCGCCGTCCGCGGGCAGCGCCGCGACGCGCATGCCGGCGTCGTCGTCTTCGGAAGACGACGACGACTCCGCCGCGGCCGCGGTCTCATTCTCCTCCTCCTCCTCATCCTCGGGCTCGTCGTTCCAGGTCGCGATGGTCGCTTCGCCGCCGGCGTCGCGCGGCGTCCATCGCGTCGCCGTCATCTGCGCGGGAGGGATGGGTATGGGTCGCGAACGAACGAACGTCAGCGCGGCGGCTCGCGGGGCGGCGCGGGCGGGTTCCGTTTCGTCTCGTCTCGGAGGAGGAGAGAATTGACGATTGTCATCGACGACGGCGCGACGGATCGAACAAGTACCGTCCGTCGCGGTGTACCTCCCTCGAAGGGAAGCGCCGCGCGCGCGAGGAGATGTGGCTGCGTTTCAAGAGGAAACATCGTCGTGGGCGTCGACGGCACCCTTAGGATTATACGCAGCGCGCGCGAGGAGAAGCCGCGAGACGAGCGACGAGATCTGGCTAGGGATCACCGGGCGCCGACTTCGCGCCCGACGGCGGTTCGCGCACCTGCTCCGGTCGTCGTCGTTCGCCGTCCGCCCGCGCGGCTTCCTCACGACGACGTCATGTCGTCGCGGTGAACGGACGCGCGCGCGTCTTCGATGCGTCCACGCGATGCGTGCGCGTGCTGGCGGCGCGAAGGGGTGTGATGAGAGGGAGCTCGAACAGAAAGCGAGAACTCGCTGCGTGTGAGACTGGACAGCTGTGTCTTGGAGGCACTTTTCCGCGGAGACGCGTCGGAACGCGCTCGGGGACGCTCCCGTTCGCGCGGAAACGTTCGTCGTGAATGATACGTACAAATGGGCGCTATTCTTTCGTTCGTCTAGGCCGCCGCGAGCTCGAGCTCGAGTCTGTCCACTGACACTCGCGCGTCGGAAACGCCGCGCTCCGCCGCGAGGCGGTACCACTTCAGCGCCTCCGTTTTGTTCTCCGCCACGCCGCACGAGCGGAGTTCGTAGATGCGCCCGAGAGCGTGTGCAGCTCCTCCTGATCCCAGCTCCGTCGCCTTGACGTAAATTTCAACTGCCTTTGCTTCATTTTTCTCCACGCCATCGCCGTACCTGTAGCACGACGCGAGCCTACAGGTCGCGTCGGCGTGCCCACACCCAGACGCTCTTTCCCACCACTCCTTCGCCTTCGTGTAGTCTCGGTTCACGCCGTACCCGAAGCGGTAGCAGTATCCGATCTCGTTCATGGCAACGGCGTCTCCACGATCAGCGGCTTTACGCAACCAGTAGAGCCTCTTCTTCGTCGAATGTACAAGAATTGTATGGGTATCATCGAGCAACATATGTACAAGAATTGTATGGGTATCATCGAGCAACGCCCTCGGAGTGCCAGGTAACGACGCGTCTGCCTTCTCCGCGTCCCTCCACACCTTGCTCACCGCGGAGAGGCGAATGCGGTCTGTCGGGTCGCCCCCGAGGTGCGAGAACACGACGGCGGCGACGTTCTCGGGGATTTTGTTGAAACCGGTGCTCGAGCGCGTCCGCATGGCTCGGATCTGGGCGGGGGGCGGCGGCGGGGGGAGGGGGGCGCGAGAAAGTGAAGAGTCGTAGCTTCTGAGCACTCGCTTTTGAAAGGTCGCGCGCGTGACGAGAGCTCGCCACTCCACTCCGCGCGCGACGCGACGACCCCATGAAGACCCCGGATTCGAAGCCCGCGAAGCGCCGCCACGCCGCCGCCACGCCGCCAACGACGAGACCGACGCCGCCGCCGCCGCGGCCGCCGACGTTCGGCGAAGTCCTCCCGCTCGCGGTGTCGATGACCAAGGCGCTGCGCGTCGCCGCGAGGCGCGACGCCGAGCGACGAAAGCGCGAGCTCCGCGCGCTCGGCGAGCTGCGACGACGGCTCGACGCCGCGTGCGTCGCCGCGGAGGACGCCGCCGCGGAGGGCGACGTCGTCGGGAGGCGCGGCGGAAGCGCGAGATCCGCGCTGTTGCTGCGCGCGGCGTGGGTTACCGGCGACGACGGCGACGGCGACGACGACGGCGGCGGGAGCGACGACTTCCGCTTCCTGCGCCGCGCGAGGGCGTATCGCCTCGCGAAGCTGACGACGACGACGACGACGACGACGAAGCCGTCTGCCCCCCCCGCGCGCGGAGGCGCGATGAAGCCGCCGGCGTCGGAGCCGTCGAGGTCCGCGACGCGAGCGAAGGACGTCGCGCGCGCGGTCGACGACGCCCCGGACGCGTTCGTCGCCGCGGAGCTCCTCCTCGAGGTTGTCGGCGTCGGCGACGGCGACGAAGGCGAAGGCGGCGGCGGCGACCCGCGCGTCGTCCCGCTTCCCGAGGAGACCCTGCGCGAGTACGTCGCCGGCGCCGTGCGCGTCATCGCGGCCGCGGCGTCGAGAGATCGCGACGACCGAGAGCGCGCCGCGCGGGCGACCGGCGGACGACGCGCGGCCGGCGCCGCGAACGCGGCGGGCGGCGCGGCTTCCGCGACGGCGCTCGCGCGCGACGTCGCCGGCGCGCTCCTCGACGCGTCGCTCGCGCTGCGCGAGCGGCGCGACGACGGCGGCGGCGACGCCACGTTCATCGCCGCCGCGGCGGCGCCCATCGCGATCGCGATCGACGCGATCGTTCGAGACGCGCGCGCGTCGTTCGCGGCGGAGCTGTTGACCGCGGCAGCTTCGACGATTGAAGCGCGGTTCAAAGACGCGTTCGAACCGGTTCCTATTCGCGCCGGCGTCGCCGTCGTCGCGCCCGCGACGCCGCGGCTGTCGCGCGCGATCGAGAGCCCGATCGAAGAAGCGCTCGTCGCGTGCGATCGGCTCGAGTCCTCGGGCGTCGCGTTCGCCGTCGCCGAGCGCGTCGTCGCGCGGTTCGGGCGCGTTCTTCTCACACTGGTTCCCGTACGACCGCGTCGGCGTGGTGAACGCCGTTCCTTAAGGACTTTCTCTCCCGGCGGCGCATCTCTCCGCCCATCCCTCGAGTTCAATCCCGACACACCTCGATGCCTTTCATTTCCGCTTCTGACGCCTTTGAACTCCACCCCGACGTTCGCTCGTATGGACCCTCGACCCTCATCAGCCGCGTCGGACGCGCCGCCGCCGCACGCGAGGAGGCCGACCCCGCGGCCGGCGACTTCGCGGCCGCGACGGAGGCGCTGACGACGACGCGCGAGCTCCTGACGCGCGCCGCGCGGACGACGCGCGAGCGCGCGAGAGGGCGCGGTCTGGCGCTGTACGTCCTTCGCGCCGAGCGACTCGCGGCGATGGCGCTGGCGGCGTCGGACGCGATGCGCGCGACGACGCGATGATAGGGCCCTACGATGAGGAGTGCCTACGTTCCTTTACTGTGCGCGTGCGTACACGTACTACGGCGAGTAAGTTGTTACTTCCGCTCTCGCGATCAAATGCCTATTCGTCCCCATCCTTTCGGGGCCGGGTTCACCCACTCCGTGTCGATCAAGTCCGCGTCCGCGTTGGCTTTCACGAGCGCCGCGTACGTCTCCAATTTCTCCGCCGCGTCCGTCGCTGCGGCGCGACGACGAGAGGGAGGGGATACGTCGAGGGTGGGTCACCACGATTGGTCAGCGGGCGATCGTATCCGAGTAGATGTGATGATGTGTATGTAAATGTGTGGTCGATATTCGCGCAAAATGACACGTGTCGGCATCAGATCGCACGCGACGCACCGTTCCCGAGCAACCCGCGCGCGGTGACGCCCTTCGTCGCGAGCCCCTCGTCCAACAGCTTCAACGCGTACAGCACGTCGATCGACGGCGGCGCCCTCGGGTCGTTCACGCACGAGTACACCAAGCACAGCGGGTCGTCCGGGTTGTTGAAGTCCGGCTGCAGCGCTCGCCCGAGCGGGCCGGTCTTCTCCGGGAGAAGTTTCCAGAGATCTTCGCGGTCGCGCGCGAACGGCGATCGCTCGGAGGAGAGGTATCGATCGAGCCCGCGCGCGGTGACCCAGAACGCGCCGAGCGCGTTCGCGTGCAGGCGCGATTTGAGCGCCGCGCGCGTCGACGAAGCGAGCGGCGCCGCGATCGCGAGCTCCGGGTCGTCGTACGCGAAGTCGCCGTCGTCGCTCGCGGAGGCGGACGACGACGTGGCGTCGCCGAGGGCGTCGCGCAGCTCCGAGGCGACGGCGGCGAGCTCGACCGCGACCGCGTCGAGCGCGGCGACGTAGTCCGCGAGCGGGAGCAGCGGCCCGCCGACGGCCTCCGCGGCGGGGCGGACGGACCCGAGCGCGGCGGCGAGGACGCGCGGCGGCGACGCGAGGGAGACGCCCGTCGCCGTCGCCGTCGCCGCGCCGACGACGGTGCCGAGAAGGATAGATCGTCGCGACGACGACGACGAAGACGACGATGACGACGACGACGACGCGTCGCGGTCGCGCGGCGGCGGCGCCGACGTCGCCGACGCCGACGCCGCGACGTCGCGCCACGGTCTCGAGCGACGCGATACCGCGCGCGTGAGCGCGCGGGAGGCGGCGCAGGTCGTCGTCATCGCGCTTCGACGAGTGTTGACGGCCTCGTTCCGGAAGCCCCGGACGAGCGACGCACAGCTGGCAGGGCTGGTCGGGCGCGGTCTTGTCAAGAACGAACGACGCTTCCGGTCAGTCCCGCGTCGCGGCGACTCGCGCACACCAGCGCGCGCCCGCGAGTCGACGCCGCACGCCCCGCGCGGCGCCGCTCGCACGCTCTCCCCGAGCGCGCGCGCACCGCGGTCGAGCGGAGTCCCGCGTCGTCGCCGCCGCCGTCGCCGCCGCCGCCGCGTCGCGTCGGTCGCGTCGGATCTGCCACCGGAACGTCTCGCGCTTCCTCGAGAGGCGGACGTCCGTCCGCGCGCGATGATCCCTCGACGGAAGGTCGACCGCGACGCCAAGCTGGACGAGCTCGTGGACAATCGCCTCCTCGCGGACCTTCGAAGGCGCGTCTCGGCCCGTGATCGACTCTCGCCGGTGGCGCGCTGCCCTCCTCGCGTCGTCGTCCTCGTCCCGCGGACCTCCTCGAAGGTCAACATCGATCGCCTCGCCTCGCCCGCGCCCTCGACTCATCGATCATCCCCCCGCGCCCGCCTCCTCCGCGGAACAGGCACCCGCCGCCGCTGAGCGACAAGAGCAAGAACGAGAACGGAGGGAAAGCGAGCGAGGACGTCCTCACGTCCATGGCGCGTCGGCTGGTGCGCGCGTCCCCGAGCGCGTCGACCCCCCGCCCCGTCGCGGCGTCTCGCGCGAAAGCGACGACGCGCGCGCATTCGCATTCGTCCCCCCGAGTGCCGACACGACATCCGGATATTCAGTTTCCGTTCCTCGTCCGTCCCGACGCGTCGCGTCGCGTCGCGTCGCTCACCGCCCGAGCCCTTCTCTCCCCGCCCCTCCCCTCGCCGATCGACTCGATCGCTCCACCCGCAGGGCGGTCTCGAGCGCGAGGTCATCAGCCTGAGGAGCGCGAATCAGCGCAAGACGGAAGACCTCGCGCTCGCGCGCGACGAGTGCGAATCGCTGCGTCGGAGACTCCGCGCGCCCAGAGCCGTCGGCGGCGCGCCGAACGGAGGGTTCGTCGCGTCCGACAGACACGTGTCCGTGTCCGACAGACGCGGTGGCTCCCCGACGTCGTCCAGCGGCGGCGACGCGCGCGACGACGACGACGAGGAGGAGGAGGACGAGGACGAGAGAAGGGCGCTGCGGTCGGAGATGGAGGCGCTGACGCGCGCGCTCGCGAGCGCGGAGGGTGAAAACCGCGCGATGAAGCGTTTTTTGAAAGACTACGGAATGACGTGGGTGGGCGAACCCGATCGCGGTGGCGGCGCGGGCGATGAAGAACGTCGCGGCGGCGCGATCGACGGACGGCGGCCGCGCGAGAGGAAGGTGAAGTCGACGCGGCTGGAGCGAAGAGCCGCCGCGGCGAGGGAGGAACGCGTCGACGGCGGCGGCGCGCCCGGCGCGGGCGCGGGAAGGAAACTGGGCAGTCGCGGCGACGCGAAGTCGAGGTCGCGTTCGCCACCGTCGGACGAGGATGCTACGGCTCCCGCGAGCGTGCCGTGCGGCGCCGCGCCCGCGTCGCCGCCGCCGTCGCGGAGAGCGTCCGCCGCTGCGAAGGCGTCGATGTCGTCGGCCACGGAGAAGGCGGCGACGACGACGACGACGACGGAAAAAGAAACCAAATCTGTGCGCGGCGGCGGCGGCGGCGGCGGCGGCGGCGACGCGTACGCCGTGGACATGACGAAACTGCTCAAGTCCCTGAAGGAGCTCAACCACGCCGCGGGCGACGGCAAGGGTGTGGTGCAACAGTCCAGCAACGGCGAACGGAAGCTCGTGATGCCGTCCGCATTGCCGCTCACGCTGTTCAAAGACGGGTTCATTCTCCGCGACGGTCCGTTTCGAGCGTTCGACGGCGGTGGCGACCCCGCGCGAGGGAAAAGCAACCGCGCGTTCGTGACCGACCTCATGGACGGATACTTCCCGTCCGAGATGAAGCACACGCACCCTGAGGGCGTGCCGTTCAAGTTGATCGATAAGACGAGCGAGGCGTTCGACCCCGGGTTCAAGGCGTTCAGCGGCGTCGCCGCGCGACTCGACGGCGTCGTCGACGGCGTCGGCGCGAAGGCGGCGTACCACGTCGGACGCCGCGGCCACGGCGGCGAGGGCAAGACCGCGGCGTTTCTCGCGAAGCTCCCGGAGAAGGTGATACGAGACGGGAACGTGATCGACGTCCGCGGCGACATCGCGGCGTATTGCGGTTCGAAGCCCGGCGGCGGCGGCGGCGGCGGCGTCGTCGACCTAGACACGACGTGCCGTCGGGAGCACTTCATCGCCGGCATGGCGGCGGCGGCGGCGAAGACGAACGACGGTTCAGTTTATGAACCGTCGCGGCGACCGGCGGTGTCTCCGAACGAGGTGACGACGCTTCGGGTCAAGGGCATGGACGGACGGCGGATGTACGCGTTGACGTTACGAGCGTCGGACACCGTCGGAAAACTTCGCGCGTACCTGAAGCGCGCGACGGAGGAGGACGAGGACGACAAGAACGTCGGCTTGGGATTCGAGATACGAGGCGCGTACCCGCCGAGGGCGTACGCGGACGACGACGAGACGCTCATGGAGGCGGGGCTCGTGCCGAACGCGGCGCTGTTGCTCAAGCCTATACCTTTATAGAGAAGATCAGAGAGGACTAGTAGACTAATAAGTACGTACACGTAGGACTTCCGGGAGCGACGCCGCGGCGACGCGCGGACCGCGACGAGACGCCGCCGAAATTCGTCACCACGAGACGAACATTCGCACGGTCTCGTCTATCCCGCGCCTGCACACCGGACACTGCTTCACGTTCTGCGCGCACCGCCAGCACATGAGCGAGTGCCCGCACGGTTTCAACACGCTCTCCACGGGGGCTTCCATGCAGATTTTGCACGTGAACCCTCCGCCGCCGTGCCCGCCGAGGCCGCCGCGTCCGAACCCGTGCTTCAACGCGTCCACGATCCGCAGCCGCGGCCCTTTCGGCAGCCCGATCTCTTTCATGTCCGCGTCGGACATCAGCGCCAAATCCGCGACGGTCGTGACCTCCGCCTCGCTCAAGGTCTCGACGTGGTTCGACAGACCGATGTCGAGCATGAAGGTCTTGATCTCGTCCGTGCATCGATTCCTCGGCCCGGACGCCCTCCGCCACTCGAGAAACTCCCTCGTCTTTTGGTTCAACCGCGACGTGGACTTCCGCAAGGCGAGCGCGCTGTTGCCGGCGCCGCCGCCGCCGCTCGTCCCGGTCCCGTTCGAGTCGCGCAGGTCGCCCCCCGAGCGGCTCCGCGACGGCGGCGGCGAGTCGGCGGCGACTCCGTCGGCGAGGGAACCAGCAGACGACGACGACGCTTTCTTTTTCGGCGGCGTCGTCATTCCCCGCTCTCTCCCCGCTCTCTCCCCGCGTTCGTTCGCGTTCGCGACGACGACGTCCGCGCGCGCCATTCCGCACGCCGCGCAGACGCTCTTCGCCATCGGATTCAGCAGCGTGCACACGCTGCAGCCCCAGTGCTTCCCGGAGACGCTTCTCAAACGCGCGCGTCGCGCGTCGCGGTCGCGGTCGCGGTCGCCGTCGCCGTCGCGGTCGTCGCCATCGTCTTCTCCCGCGGCGTACTTATTCCTTCTAACGCCGTTCCGTCGACCGGTATTATTCCCCGACGACGACGCATTGCTACCCCCCGACGGCGGCCCGTCGGTGGCGTCGCTGGGCGCGTCCATGTTCATGACCGGGTCGCCGTCCTCGACGTCGTCGAACCGCGCGGCGGTGAATCGATACTTGGGGCCTTTTTCCGAGCGATCAAGAAACCCGCTCGCGGCGGTGTCGCCGTCGACGTTGAACCTCCCCAAGTGCGCCAACAGCTTCGTCATCCCGTGCTCTTTGATACCCGCGACGACCACGCCCGCGTCTTTGCTGTTCACGTTCAGAAGCCGGTACAGATATTCCGCGGGGACGAACATCTGCGGAAACCGAGACACCAACAGCTGAAACTCGCTGAATCCCATGCGTTTCGTCGCGCCCATGTTCCGCGCCATGAGCTCCACCTCGCGCTGAAGCTCCTTCGGGTTCCCCGGGATGATCGGGTTGTACGTCGACGGCCGCGCTCGAAACGCGAGCTTGATCTGCGACCGCGGTTTCGGCTTGTACTGCGAGTGGTCGGAATCTAAAACCGCCTTGACCGCGCTGAGGAGCTCAAACTTATCGAGCGAGCCGTCGCCGTCCAGGTCGATGAGGCGATACGCGAACTGTATGCGTCGCTCGAACGTGTCCACTTGGAACTTGGACAGGCCGTACACGAACTCTCGGAAGCCGATCTCGCCGGAGTTGTCGAGGTCGAATATCTTCACGAGGCGGTCGCAGAAGATGTCGGGCTTCAAGCCGAAGATGCGCGTGAATCCCACCCTGTCGAGCTGCCCGGCCAAGTCTGGCGCGCCGTCGAGGAACATGGCGTGCAACCGCGCGAGCGCGTCGTGGAATCGTCGTTCGCTGACGGCGTCCTTCTTTCCGCCCGCGCTGCTCGCCATCGGTGACCCGGGCGCGAAGCCCTTAGCCTCCCTCGCTTCCGTGAAGAACCGGAACGAATCCCGCCGTCTGAGCGCGGCCGCGAAGGCGTCCTTGTTCTGGTACTTTCCCTCCGCGTTCTCGAGCTGATGATCGATGCACCCGAGGCTCACCTGCAGGGACTGGCACCCGCCCATCCTCTCGCGACGACTGGAGGAGGGAGGGAGCGGAGGGAGGGTTCGACGACGGTTACCGCGCGTCGGGCGTGGACGCGCTGGGTTTCATGGCTCGCTTTTCGCGAGGCGCGCGCGGCGCGGCGCGGCGCGACGATCTGTGAATGGCCCCTTCGCCCGTCCGACTGCTGTTAGTTGTCCGACTGGACGAAACCGCCTCGAGTCGATTTCGCCGTTGTTAGCGGCGACCGCCATTCGATCGATGCGCGCCGCGTGCTCCGCGAGTCGCGTCGCCCTCACCGCGGCCCGTCGCTTCCAACAGCGCGCGTCTACTCCTCATCCTCATCCTCTCGCACCACCTCTCCACTCGCGCCCCCACCCCCCCGCGTCGCGCTTGAGATCCACGATGGCGGGCACGGGCGACGAGCGCGCCGCGGCGATCGAAGCCGCGCTCAAGGGCATGGAGAACAGCGGCGAGCCGACCATCTTCGACAAGATCGTCGCCAAGGAGATCCCCGCGACGGTCATCTACGAGGACAACCTGTGCCTCGCGTTCCGCGACGTCGCGCCGCAGGCGAAGACGCACTTCCTCGTGATCCCTAAGATCCGCGCGGGTTTAACGCGCCTGAGCAACGCGGAGGAGGAGCACAAGGCGCTGTTAGGGCATCTCCTGTTCACCGCGCAGAGAGTCGCGAAGGACGAAGGACTCGGGGAGGGGTTCCGCGTCGTGATCAACGACGGCGTGCAAGGGTGCCAGAGCGTGTACCACCTGCATCTGCACGTGTTAGGCGGGCAGCAGCTCACGTGGCCGCCGGGGTGCGGCTGACTGCGAGGAGGAGGAGGAGGCGCGGTGACGACGAGAGGGAAGTTATGAATCGAACGAAGAAAATGGTACGCATCCGTCGCGTCGCGTCTACGACGCCTATTTCATCGTCACCGTCCGTCGTCTATCGTCAGTCCGCCGCCGGCTGTATCTCCGACATCAGCTCCCCCTTCGGCTCCGTCGCCGCCGCGGCGGCGTCCGGCTCCGCCTTCACCGGCGGCGCCGCGGGCTGACCGTCCGCCGCCGCCGCAGCCGCCGCCGCCGCAGCCGCGCCCTCTCCTCCCCCTCCCTCGCCGCCCGGCGTCGGCTTCGGGTTCGCCGCTGCCGCGGCGTCGAACGCCGCCCTCGCGTCCCCGTCGACGTCCCTCCCCAACGCCTTCGCCAACGCCGCGATGTCGAACGTCGCGTCCGCGGCGCGCAACGCCCCAACGACGTTTTCGACGCCTTTCAAAAAATCCTCCACGAGCGCGTCGGCGAGCGGCGGCACCTCTGGGACGCGAAGGAACACGTCCTCGTCCGCTTCGTGGTACAAACGCGCGTTCGTCGCGATCTGTTTGACGTCGTCGATGACCGCGTCCACGGAGACGTAGCCGCCGCCTCTGGACAGGTTTCTGGATATCGTGCCGAGGTCCATCTTGCGCGACACGAACTTGTCGTAATCCGGGAGAATTTTCCGCGTCACCGGGGCGCAAAACGCCTGGTACTTCGGCTCCGACTTGACTTTGTTGATGACGTCGGATATGACGCCATCCCGGGAGTCGTTCCGGAACCGTGACGTCGTCCCAAGCCTGGATTTCAGCGCCGCGGCCTTCGCCTTACCGCCGCCGCCGGACGCCCTCGGCGGCGGCAGCGTCGGCTTTTTGAGCGACAGCGCGATTTTCAGCGACTTCCGCGGCGCCTCCGCGGCGGCGGCGTCGGACGCTTCCTTCCCCGCGGCCAACGCGGCGAGATCCTGCTGCGACACCCCGCTCGTCTTCTTGAGTTCTTCGAGCTTCTTTCTACGCCGCCGCACCTTCTCCATCGTGCGCTTGCGCAACCGGATGAGCTCCTCTTTCTCGTCCAAAGTTCCGTGGAAGTTCGGCGCCTTGATGGTCTTCGCGGGTAACCCCTCCCCGGACTGCCTTCTCGCGGCGCCGCTCGCGCCGCCCGCGGCGCCGCCGTCGCCTTGAATACCGATGCTCTCCGCCTCGACGCCGTTCGGATACAGAATCGTCATGACCGCCTTCTCCGCCGCTTCGAGATCTACCGTTTTGCCGTCGTCTTTTAATCGCCTGGCTTTCATCCACGCGTCCCCGACGGCGGCGCTGACGTCGTCTTCAATCTTTTCCACTCGCCCGTCCGGGTACGTCCGCGTGATGATGCGTTTGAGCTGTAAACGCTTCCCCGGCGGCGGTTTCGTTGGGTCCGGCGCGGCGTCCTTCGCCGCCGCGGCGGCGGCGGCACCCCCATCGGCAACCCCCTCCGCGGCCGCGTCCTCTTTCTCTTTCATCATCCGCCGCATCTCCTCGAGCTCTCGACGTTCCTCGTCCTCGTCCGGACCGTCGCGTTTGTCCTTGTCCATCGCGCCCTCGAGCTCGTCCGCGAGGGAGTCGTCGGACTCGGACTCGTCGCTGCTGCTCTCGTCGTCGTCATCGTCGTCGTCGTCGCCGTCGATGTCGTCGCCGTCGGACTCGTCGCTGCTTCCGCCGCCGCCGCCGCCGCCGCCGCCGCCGCCGCCGCCGCGCGCGGCTTTTTTATCGTAAAACTGCTTACGCATCGCCTTGTAAATCTTATTCGCGGCGTCGTTCTGCTCCTGCATCTGCTGCGCGATGCCGACGCGGAGCGACCGCGCGAAGCGGCTCAGGCCTTCGTGCGCGGCGTTCTTATCCGCGGTCGCCGCGCCGGAGAGCTCGCGAATCAACCCGATGCGTTTCCAGCGGTGTAATTTTTTGATATCCGCGAGAGGGACGCCGAACCCGGTCAAGATGCGTTCCGTCTGCGGCATCGTGAGCTTCCTCAAGTCCGCGTCCGTGCCCGTGACCGTCCCGGGCTTGACCTTCGCGGTCGTCGGCATGTCCGGGTCCTTCGGCGGCTGCCGTCGGACGTAGTGATAAAATTTCCCGGTTTTCTCCCGCATCTTCCGCGACGCGTCCAGATGAAGCACCGCTCTGCCGCCCACCGCGGCGAGAAACTCCGTCGTCTGCGCCCACGGCTGCAGCTGCAGCATGAGCTCCAAGTCGCGGAACCGGTTCCTCTGCGCGATCGGCGTGGATCTGTAAATCATCTGAAACGCGTTGAGCATCTGCGTCGCGGACGTTCCCATGAGCTTGCGGATGCGATTGACCTCGTCCGCGGTGCGTCCGCGTTCGAGCTTACTCCTCGCCGCGCGCATCGAGTCAAACGCGCAAACGTCTTCGGGCGGGCACATCCTGTGGAGCATCAGGTCGTCCTCGAAGCGATACGTCGGGTTTAACTCGAACTCGTCCGCGTCGTCGTCGTACAGGTCGTCCGCGCGTCGACGCGACCCGGGAGGGCGCACGGGGAGCAGAATCTTTTGACGGATCCGCCGCTTGATGTCCTTACCCTGAATCGCGCGGTGGAACATCTTCTCGATGTCGCTCACCTTGACGCGCATCTCTGACTCCGGGACGCGGTCCGCGCGCTGCTTGAGCAGGCTGAATATGCACGCCGCGTTCACCGCGCGCTCTTCGAAGTCGCGCAGGCGGTCCGTGTTCGGCTGGAACACCTCGACGTGCGGCTCCTCTTGTCCGACGACGAAATGTTCCGTGACCTCGCGAAGCGAGAGCTCGCCGTGCGGCCCGCGAATGAGAATGTACAAACCCTCGTCGGATTTGATCCGCCGCTGGAATATGGGCGCGCGGAATAACGTCGTCTCCAACGCCTCCTGCGGCTGCCCGGGCGGCAGCTCGCTTATGAACGGCGACGACGCTTCCGGTCGCAGGTCCACGACGTGGCGCGTCCCCCCGTGCGTCAGCGCTCGGCCCGTCGTGTCGCCTTGCGTTTTTCGCCGGTAGTACGTCACGCGTTTCGCGCCCATGCCAACCTTCGCGATCAACGGCGGATCCTTCTCCGCGTACGACACGAGCATGAGCTGGCCGTTCGTCGCGCTCAGATCCGAGAGGTCTTTCATCGCGCTCGCGACCGCTTCCGCGGGGTCGCCGGCGGTCACCGCGGCGGCGGC